CGTCCTGCAGATATTAACATTTCAAAAGACAATGAGACAAATTCTGCTCGCAGCTACATCCCTGTTTGACTTCAGTGGGCGGGGGAAAGAAATCTGGAAGCAGAATTTGGTCCTTTAACTTCGGGAGCCATCTCAGTCGATAAGGAGCACAAAGCAAGGATTTGCTTATCCAAGGCCATTATTTTCCAGAACTGTACCACAGATGCCAAAGTTGCTAGCTCTCTCTCGAATAACACGTTTGCCCTGCTCCCGGCCAACTTATCACAGACTTTAAGAAAACAGCGGGGGTCCGGGAGGGAGGGCGATTTTCAAGAAGAGAGCAGGTTTTTCTTTTATTTTCTCTCTCTTTTTTTTTTTTCTCCTTCCCCTAGATTCATATGAAGAGCAAAGGGAGGGATTTGGACAACTCTGGAGACGAAAGGCCGCTACTGCAGGAACAGGGTGTAACAAAGCTTGAAAACTTGTCTCAGGAATTCCCTCCTCAAGCGCTGCTGCTAGCTGCTCTCCATGCCAGAGAAAGGGAAGGGTAGTTTGGGTCCAAAAGGTTAAGGGTTTAGAGGTCACTCTTCCCGGCTGAAATACAACTAATCGAATAGAAAATTTGTCCTCTGGGTGAACCTGTTCCTGCAATTTAGCCGAACTTCAGTAAAATACCTTTTCAGCTTCTCAACGTGAAGGCGTCAGAAAAAAGACGTCTTTACTATGTATGAACTCAGTGCTTTTTGTCATAGAAACAATGATGCGAATAATGCGGGAATATCCATCTTTAATATCACGACGTGGAGATATTCAAGTATTGCCATGTGCAAGTCTGAGAACTGTGCTAACCCTAAGGAAGAACAAAGAGTTTTCTCCAGGCTCTAAAACAAAAGGCCAAGTCTTAAAGACACTTTGCGGACTTCGAGGGATGAGAAAAGGGCAGAAATTAACCGCTGGCCACAGTTAATGCTGCCGAATACACTCCTGTTGAAAAGCTCGCCTTTTATTTTCGAATTCATTCAAGCCCGTTTTGGCCGGTGTTTTCCCGGGCGAGCCCAGAAAGCAGTGGGTCCTCGGTGGGAAGCACCCAGCCTGCGGATGGGCACGTTAACTCACCCCTGCTCTTTCCACCTCCCTGCAGCGTTCTCTCGGGGTTTCCTTCTTTGCCCCTTTTCTCTTTAATAAAGGGATCACCTCGTTACAATTTCGATGATCTGGTCCCTCTCCCAGGCTGCCCTGAGGGTACAGGAGATAAAGGCTGAGCTCTAAAATCGCCTGAGCGGAGGTGTAAGTGGCTGAGGGAGCTGGTTTGGCTGGGTTTGGTAGTTACAGCGCACTAAAACTTTGGCACGATGCAGCCAGGGACAAATCCGTGGATATTAAACCAGGTCTGCTCCCATCCAAGCCTTTCTCCTTTCCTTGAAAGCAACTTGCTGAGATTTCCAACCGCTGCAGTCATGTGTCATGGTTTGCTTAAAAATAATCACTGTTATTCAGAAAAAATCCAAACCCAACAGACCAAAATAACCCCAAACCAAAACAAAGCAGCAACCCATATAGCCTATCCCTTTCTCGGGCAGAAAAGAAATTTAAAAGCTGATTGAAAGAACGCATTCAGGTTTCAGCTTTGAATAGCTCAGGTTATACCAGAAATTGCATTAGTTTTTCATTCTGGGGGGTTTATTTTTAGTTTTTTTTGTTGTGGGGGTTGGTGGATTTTTGGTGTGTCCCCCCTTTTTTTTTTCCCTTTTTTTTTCCCCCTTTTTTTTTTTTTTGGTGTGTTTTTTGTTTTCTCCATTTTTAAATGAGGTATCAATGGTTTAAAGCACAGCGCTGAGCAGAGGAGACTTTGGAAACAGATTTCAAGCCTGTTAGCCCTGGATGGCACATGGTAAGGAGCAGGAACGCTTTTCCTATACACAAAGAAGGAAATTCAAAAAGAGGGACAAGAAAGTTGTGTACGTTCAAGACAAGTAAACATTACACATGTGTTCATGAGACTGGGAAGGAGAAATACTGTATTCCAGCTCCCCTTCCCCGTTTTTGGTTTGACTATTTTTCTTTTTATCTTCACTCTTCTACGGAACAAATAAATAAATACGCTAACACTACCAGTACGTAAAATAACCCGTTTTCACTTAATTTCTATGCACACCTTCTGAGACGTTATGGAAATGAGCAAGTATTTTAATTACACCAAGAAAGGTAAAGCAGCACAAAAAGTTCACAATTACTAGTCTTTATGTTCAAATAAAAGACTATGCTATAAATTTCCTGTCCTCAACTTGCCCAAATGCATCCTCCCGAAATAACATGGGATAAAAAGACAATTAAAAGTAAAAATCACGGAATAAAGCATCAAACCTTCACTTTCGAATTCAAAACTGAAACACAGGACAGTTTCATTTTCAATGATTTATTACTTTTTATGGACAGAAGGTCTCGTTTAATATTTTCCCAATTCCGACTGCCTGCATGATGGTTTGGTTTTTTTCCTTCTTTCCCCCCCTTTTTTTTTTTTTTTCCTTTTTTAGGTTGTGCTAGCAGAGGCAAATAAAATAAAGTCCAAAGTAGCGTCATTTTGTCTCCTTTGTACGACAGTACCTTAAAGAAAGATGGCAGTTTCTCGAGTCCTTAGCTGCTACATGCAGGTTCTGCTTGGGCAGTGTCAGTTATGTACAGTACTGGTCAGAAGCAAAGGATGAAATGGAAAATTTCACCTCTTCTACAAAGTTGTCAAGTCAGTCTGATGGTCCTTGGAACCAGTCTGTAAATGGGGGTTTGAACCAGAGGAAGAAGATCTGCCCTTCGTGTTGGGCAGTTTGTGATCTTTTTTCCACTTCATTCTTCTGTTCTGAAACCAGATCTTGATCTGGCGCTCAGAGAGACACAAAGTGTGGGCTATCTCGATACGGCGGCGCCTGGTCAGGTACCTGTTAAAATGAAATTCTTTTTCCAGTTCTAGGACTTGCTGTCTGGTGTAAGCTGTGCGGGAGCGTTTAGGTTCCCCTCCGCTGTAATTGGGATTCACTGGGAAAAAAATACGGAGAACTTTACAAAGCTAACCTTGACTTGCCGGTTCGACTTTACAAAAGAAAACCTTACGGGCTGCGAGCATGTGGCCGGGCTGGATTCGTCCCAGTTGCTTACAATGGACGGGCTGCTCTCCCCCTCATTTAAGGCAGGCACTACAGGCACACGCAGCTAAGGTAGGCTGGGAGCCGCTAGCAGGCTCCTAAAATGGAGTTTTCTCCTGCACGGCAAAGCCCCGCATGGCCAACGGCCTCTTTCCTCAGCAATAAAAATTTATGACGGGTGTAATTGGCTACCTCGGCTTAAAAAGCTTGTCCCCGAGTCTGGCAGGGACTCGAGCGAGCGTCGCTGAGGACGATCGGAAGCAGGGTAGAAGAGCAAAGTAAGAAGAGGATCCTTACCCGAGTTAACATGGACTTTCTTCATCCAGGGATAAACTACTGCTGGCTGCTTAACTGCTGACCCGTTTGGGGGTTTGAGGGCCGGCTGCTGGCTGCAGGCTCGCGAGTTGGGCATTGGAGGCGTTGGACAATGCTCTGCTGGGCCGGGGAAGTGGCTCGCCGGGCCGGATTGCTCCTGTCCATGACCCCGCGGCGGCACGGCAGAGCCTTGGGCATTGCTACAGCTAAAGGGCTGCTCGCTGTAGTTTGACCGTGGGTAGAGTCCCTGGTGCTGGAAATCAGAGCCCTGCGAGGCACTGTAGTACTCGGCCCCCTGCTCGCCTAGGTAGCTGTTCTGCAAATATTCCTCGCAAGGAGGAAATTTGGGATCCACATACTTAGAGTTCACCATGTACGAACTCATGGCCATTAATTTCTGAAGGTAGAAAATACTAATTTTTCTCGTGTTGTCTTTTTTTCCCCTGCCATAGAGCCCTCCTACTTGCTGTCAACTGAATAAAGTTAGGCGGGCATGTGACCGGCCCGGCCAATGGGGAGGCGGGAGCCGATCACCGGATTTCTCCGC